TTTCATATGAGTATTATTTTATGGGGGTTATTTATTATTAAAGTTTAGAGGAAATAGCAAAAAACTGGAAAAAAAAACAAGACGAATTGAATTTAGTAAAAACAGAAACTAATAACTTTTAAATTGTCACGAGTTTTATTAAAAGAAGCATATAAAAATATTTTATTTGGAACTCTTTATAACAAAGGTTGATTTAAATCCAGTATCTATTGCTATAATAATATAAATAATTATTAATGTGTTATCACATAAAGATTGTATACATTGATTGAAATCTGCAATATTTTTTGAAATTTTTCCATCTATCTATCATTAAAATGTAATCATAAATTATTAATTGTGTTAGCAATATTTTTTGAAATTTCCATCTATCAAGTTCTCGAATTAGTATTATTAAAATTTAATCGTATATTTTGGGAAGAGAGACTTTCGTCTTCGCTCTCGACACAAATCGCATTAATGCCTGCACGATGTTGTTCTTTGCATGGGGTGAGCGAATGCATCGGAAGTCTCCCATGGAGAGGTCTATAATTTTCTTCGAACATATTGGCGAGGTTTTCTTCATGTAATTTTTTGATTGATTCGATTGTATCTAACAAGCAGAGCTATGCAGATAAAATCCATTAACAAACAATACTTATATGAATGTGACTGAATCAAATGAAACAACAAAGGTGATTACCTTTAAATCCCATAATAATTTAATAAAATTAAAAAAATATATTTGTTGATTATCCCAATCGATGGGAACAACGACTTTATGAGTTCTTTCGAATATTAAGACACCAGATGCGGGGTTAGACATTCTCCAAAGTTCCAAATGATTGTCTATAGATTGTGTAAACAATTAAATATCAAGAAATGACACAATAAAGTATTTAATTAAAAGGTAATTTACCAAGTCCATGCAAGAAAGACACTTGAATCTTTGAAAAAGTCCTGTAGGAAGCCTTTTTGTAACAGTATGAAAGGTCTCCTAACATATAAATATTTCCGACTGCACCTTTAAGATGATCCCAGGTGGATCGTGGTTTATCTATACAACCATAACCACCACTAATTTCAACGTGACCAATTTCAATATAATGATTTTTCAAACACATCAAGAAAACACCGTCCGATTTTTGTTCGTAATCACTTTCCTTTTTCCTTTTACGATAAGATTCGATTGATGATAATGCTATCTCTCCCCTTATATAAGAAAGAAAGTCAATATTATTAATTTATGCTACATAAAGACAATAACTAAAATAGCACTTACGGTTTATATATCAAATCATCTTGTAGTCCAGATAAAAGCTTCATTAAACAAATATTAATTATGTACAATTTGTACGAACTCTTGGATATATTTCCATGTTGTATTATGGTGTTATCGGGATAAACAAACTCAAATCTATAAATGGTTAAAAATTGAGAATTAATTACAGCAAAAATAGGCAAAAATAGTAAGTAGTTCAAGTAAGTTTTCTACTTACAAAATATTTTAAAATTCTTATCGAAAAGGTAGTGAGTGGATCTTCGAGTTCTTGATTAATATTTACCAATTTATTATTATCCAACTTGTTTTTATGGTCCTGTGAACAAAAAATAATTAGATTTAGGAATGTCTCAATTCTAATAACAAAAAGAAAATGTTCAAAGCAATACCAGCTTAACGATTTCCTTTAATGTTCTTGAAGGAGAAATATATGGTGCCTTTTTTTTACAGATTTGCTGGATTTCATTATAATCAGCTTCTGCACACCATTTGGGTCTAGAAATGTTTAATCCACATCTAATTACTCCCCAATTCTCCAACCTAGTGTATTGTATAATATTAAAAAAGGCATATTTTTGAATATTTAGTTCAGATGTTTGATTTACTGTACCTTCTCAATATAAAGCATTTTGGGAATGATTCAATTTACCTCATTACGTGTCCACTGAGATTTGTCGCTTCTTTTAATAATCTCTTGACGGTAAGGTTGCTTGCCAAAACTCATCCAGAAATCAATCAGCAGAGTTTCAGCAGGTTACACATTAATTGTTTATTAGAGTTTCGGCAGAGTTTCGCATTTTGAGGTTTTGCCATTTCAGCATAGTTTCAACAGGATTTTTGATAAGATTTAATATAGTTTTGCTGTGGTTTCAGCAATTACTAAGGAGGTTTCACCCACAACCTTACTTGACGGTGATTCCAGATTGTAACTTCCAATTATTCCTATTTATTAATGTATTGGCATTCTCATCGTTATTATTGTTGTTGTTTGAGCTTTCGTCAACTGATTTGAAAATAAATATGGATTAATTATAAAGTAAACTAGAATGACATTCAAATCAATAATCACCACCCTCATTCTTTCTTAAATAACTAGAATAGCTCGTAAAAAAATCAACCACTCTCCAACAATACTTACCCACAGGATTCTTTGATTTTCGTTTCTTCTTTCCTTTTTCTTCTGCTACTAAAAATTTTTTTTTAAAAAAATTAGAATGATGACAAGTTGCAAGTACCACCACCATCCTAATAATAATAGCATTTACCTAGGCTAGCGATATCTTCATGAAAATTTTCAGTTTTTCTTTTTTTTAACGAATGATTTGGAAAATTTTTAAGCAATATATCATTTAAATTATGTTTTAAGAAGAAAATGAATAATATGGAATACAAAAAAAAAATTTATTTTAACAAGCTAGAAATGACGATATTCATTTTTAAAAATAACTAGAGTGACAACAGGTGGCAGGCGATAACCACCACCACCATCCTTAAAACACTTACCCATGTTGTTCTTTGTTGATTTCTTGCTTTCTTTTTTTCTTCTTGTCATTGAAAGACATCTTGAATCTTTAAAAAAAGAAAAGTTTATTTAATTGATCGATGCGTACATGCTAATTATCTATCCTATTGGTTATTTTTTGGTAGGACAGACACGAATTGATTTTTTTTTTTCTTGGAAAAACAATTTATTTTCTGACAGAGTCCAAGGTGACAAAACGTGAGTGTTGTTGTTTGGCTTGGTTTGGGTCCCCTAAAGAAAACGTGTTAATAACTAACCAGAGGTACTTTTTTTATTTGTATTGATTGTTATTTTTATTTTATACAAATATTTTAATTGGAATCAAAACGCGGAGCAGATCTTGCTGGGTAATTACAAGATTTTCATTGATAATATTTTGCT